TGAGTAGTATCCAATCTGTCCAGGAGGGGCTGATGAAAGGAAATGCAGATAGGTTTCTTTTGATACAATGGTGAATAATTGTTATCAAGTTGATTGTGAGTGTTGGAAATGTAAAGGTAGATGATTTTAAGCAAGTAGGTGAGTGATTAACTTTGCAGTCTAGGAGTGGAGTACCCTGGGACCATCAAGGGAGAAGAGTGGAGAGTGGGACCCTACGCAGAGAAGCAGTGATGCCAGAGATGGAGGCAGAGATGGAGCAGCTGGATACTTTAGACCCAGAGAGGGAGAAGGGCTATGTGTTGAAGACTAGGGGGCAGGCTTGCAAGGGTATAGGTTGGGTGATGATGCATGGAGGGGATAGAAACCATGCAATGAAGTTATATAAGATAGGATGAATGTAAAACTAATGTTCTCCCATGTAAACTATCACATAATTCACAATAAAACATTAAAAAATTAAAATTTAAAAAACAAAAATGAGAAAGCCGAAATGTACACTGTGTCTCTTTACTTTCCTAGAAGATTCCCCATCTGCCGCAAATTTAGAATTTTAAAGCCCTCACTGCATTCTGAGATCTGCATTCTGAAGAATTCTAACTCTTGCTTTGCCAGACTATTAAGTTGCCCAGAGGAAGGACAAGGGGGTAACTGCTTATTCCAAGGTTCTGGCGGGATCTTTTCCATTGTGATGACTGTGTCTTGGCACTTTTAGAACTCCGGGGCTATTTTCGATTCAGAAGAGACAGGATGAAGGCTAGGCAGGCAGGGGTAAGACAGGAGCTTCAGAGTTGCAAAGGACACAACTCCCCAAAACATCTATTTTTTCCCTGCTCCAACTTTAGGGAATAAGGTAGCATGGTCTCTAAAGCTAGTCCAGCCGACTGCCAGTCCCCAGACTGAACTTGCTCCCTCCGCAGGCTCCAGGGGCGGGAGGGGATGTAAGCAGAGGGGAGGGAAGGTGGGGCTGCAGGGGAAGAGGTGAGGGAAGTGGGGAGCTCGACGGAAACAGCTTCCGAGGGAAAGTGAGAGGGGAGGGAAGCCCGGGCTCGGCACGCTCCCTCCCTCGGCCGCTTTCTCTCACATAAGCGCAGGCAGAGGGCGCATCAGTCATGCCCTGCCCCTGCGCCCGCCGCCGCCGCCGCTCAGCCCCGTGCGCACTGGAGACTCCCGCGCCGCGGAGCTCCCGGGCCTTGCCGCCACCACCACCCGGCTCCCCGCCGCCCTCCTCCCGCCCCCGGCACGGCCGCCGCCGCCTCTCCAGTAGCTCCCGCAGCCTGGCCCCTTTCACTTTGGGGAAGGGGAGGGAGGAGGGGAAAGAGAGCACTAGGGGGTTTAGAAGGTTGAAAATTGCGGGGTGTTTTGGCTCCCCCCCACCACTCCTTCCAAAAACAAAAACAAAAACGCGAACCTCGGAGCCGTCTTCCTTCGCCCTCGCTTCACCTCGCCGGCTCCGAAAGTGGGGAGCTCGGATGTCCGGTTTCCTGTGAGTCTTTTACCTGACACTCGTCGCCTTTCCCGGGCACGGGTTGGGAGAGCGACTTTCAAAGTTTGTAACGCGGAGACCCGGACCCACTCCCTCCGCCTCCGGCTTGCCCAGGGGGTTTATCGGGAGAATCTCCAGGAAAAGGGACCAGGAGGGGACCAAAGCATCGCAGGGGCGCCTGCGCCCCCATCCCGGCCCCCACAGCGGAGCAGCCTCCCCACTTCCCGGTCTTTCCACCATGCACTTGCTGGGCTTCTTCTCTCTGGCGTGTTCCCTGCTCGCCGCTGCGTTGCTCCCGGGTCCGCGCGAGGCGCCAGCCGCAGCCACAGCCTTTGAGTCCGGGTTCAACTTCTCAGACGAGGAGCCAGACGCGGGCGAGGCCAAGGTAGGTGCGCTAATCGCGCCCGCCCTGAGGTTGGGGCCGGGCTGAGGGCTTTGGGCTAAGGCTAAGAGGTGTTGTACTTTTCTTTGGACCCAAGAACCTGCATAATTGCACATTGGTTTTAAAGTTAGTAAACTGTACGTTGTGCACTTTTTTTTTTTTTTAAAGGAAAGTTTTCTTTTTCTTTCTATCTTTCCTTGTTCTTTATTTATTTGTAAATGTTAATAGAAAGTTACTAGTAAGGAACAGGGAAAAAACAAGTTACACAAATGAAGGGCCAGAGGGGTACCAAGTAATCGAGATCACGTATTTCATTTGTTTCTACTGGTGCACTAAGGTGTCTCAGACCCAGAACAATTAAGCGGCTCAGGCTTACATGAGTTTACTGGCTGGGAAGACCTCTTTCCTTGGTAGATTAGTGGGAGTCCAAAAGGCTCCTGGAGCAGTGATGACCAGCCAAGCATGGTTTATTTTCCTGGAGTGTTGGTTTCTGTTGTACGGAGCATTAGGCTCTGTGAGTGATTTTAGAAAAACTGTGAAGGTTTTCCTAACCAGGCATGAAGACTTAAAACTTGGGATCCACTTAGAAAAGTTGGTCAAACTTGAGATGCCAACAGTAAGTAGGCAGTTCTTCTGTAGACCATAATAAAGAATGCATTCAACTTTATAAACTGTGCATTTCTGAAATTTGTTCATGAAATACTGAAAAATGAGGTTTGATTGTTTTTCAATAAAAAGTGTTTAATTATTTGCTTAGAGTCTTTCTAAGATACATATGAGACATTCTGATTTTCAGATACTAGTTATAACATATTTATGCTTGCTTCTTACATGCTCTTCTAGAAGAACTAAAGTTTAGACCTGACATATGGCTGCATAATAAAATTCTTCAACAACTCTTGGAGGGGTTTATAATCCACATAATATTTTACTGAAAAGTCTCTGTTCAAGCACTTGCAGTACCCTTCATTGGGTTTTATGTCATCTAATGGTAATGTTGTTGTTGTTGTTGTTAAGTGCCATTGAGTTGATTCCGACCCATAGTGAGGAGCAGCTGGTGAGCTTGAACTGTGGACCTTGCAGTTCACATGGCTTTGCAGTCTGGTGCATTAACCCACAGCGCCACACCAGGACTGCAGGTAATAGAGACATGCCAATGGTGTTACTGTCAACTGTTAGTTAATGAACATGATTAACAAGTACTGAATGTGGAGAAATTAAATTACCTGCCCATTTTCAAGTTGAAATACACTTTATTTTAAGATTAAGACCAATTTTTAAAGAAATCTGACCCACTACCTTTGTATTTAAATTTGGGAGGAAGTTTGAAAAATTTGAATTTGTGATTCAATATGGGTTCACTGAAAAATCTTTTGAGTAAAAACAATATACATTAAATTATACAACAGAAGCAGTATGTGAATTATGGACTAATTTCCAATGCATCATTTTTGCATTGCTATAATTATAGTGATGATAATGCTGTCTGACCCTTAAATTATGCAAAAATGTAGCATGAAAGATACTAATACTTCCTGTAATTTGAGTGTCTTGAATTTTTCTATGCCTGCTCCCTTTCTGTTTCTGCAAAGTCAAACTATTAAAAGTATGACTTAATAAGGCAATGCCTATGATTACTTAGTTTAGTTTACAGTAAATAAGTGGGAAGTAGAAAGTAGAATGAGGAACTTAATCTGATAAGCCAAGAGTATGTATGAGAGTCATTCACTGCTATCAGGCATTAATGAACGTGTGCCTGTGTATATATGTGTGTATATATGTATGTGTTGAATGCTTCATGTGTTGATGTGTGTGTATCAAGGGAATCCTGGTGTGGCGCTGTAGGAATAACACTAGACTGTTGTGGTGGTTTGGATTCACTAACTGCTCCTTGGAAATCCTATACAGGGTCTCTGTGAGTTGCAATAGTCTTAAGAGCACTTAACAACAACAGCAAGTTGTTCCCAGGACTCCTGCTGTGGTGTATAGGATAAACACTGGGCTGCAAACCACAAAGTCAATGGTTCAGACCTACCAGCCTCACCTCAGAAACCTTACACAGGATTGTTATGAATCAGAATGACAACAACAACAACAGCAGCAAGGTGTTACTCCCATGGGTGAATAGAGTCTTCACAGAGATAGTGCCTTCATTGAAACATCCCAAGGGCCAAAAGACCCCGTGATTCTCCCTAGTGGCTTACCTATGCACCTCATTTAAATTTAAGCTGATGGGAACTGAGGAGAAACTGTTGGCTAATTTTCTACAAGCTGCATAAAGCCCATTAAGGCATTTTTAAAAAATATGCTTGGTGGTGGTGGTGGTTATGTGCTATGGAGTTGGTTCCAACTCATAGCGACCCTGTATAGGGTTTCTGAGGCTGTAAATCTTTACAGGAGCAGAAAGCCTCATCTTTCTACCATGGAACCACTGGTAGTTTCAAACTAGCTGACCTTGAGTTTAGCAGCCCAATTCATAACCACTAAGCTGCCAGAGTTCCTTAAAATATACTTTTTATTGTTGTTAAGTGCCATCAAGTTGCTTTCCACCCATAGAGACTCTGTGTAGGGTTTCTAAGGAGCAGTTGGTAAGCTTGAACCGCAGACCTTGCAGTTCAAATGGCTTTGCAGTCTGGTGCATTAACCCACAGTGCCACACCAGGACTTCTAAAATATAATTAGAAGATACTAAATATACATTGTTGCTGTTGTTAAGTGCCACTGAGTCAGTTCTGACTCCTAGCTACCCTGGATAGGAGTCCTGGTGTAGCACTGTGGGATAAACACTTGACTGTAAGGCTAGTTTGAACCACAAGGTAGATAGTTCAAACTTATCAGCCATTCCTCTGAAACCTTATACAGTGTCACTCTGAGTCAGAACTGACTCTATAGCACTTAGCAACCATAACATAGGATTTCCTAGGAGTGACTGTTGGATTTGAACCACCGACCTTATAGTTAGCAGTCCATGGTTATCCTAGGCACCACAGCAGAACTCCTTGTTGTTGTTAAGCGTTGTGGAGTCCATTTGGACTTAGATCCTGGATAAGGTTTCTGAGGAGTGACTGGTTAAGTTTGGACTACTGACCTTGTGGTTCAAATAAACTTTACAATCTAGTGCTTATCGTACAGAATCATAACAGGAGTCCAAAACAAAATTCTCAGAAGTGGGAACTCCATAATTCCCAATAAATGCAACTTTTTGATTTTATTTATGAAATGTTTATTTTAGGAAAAGCACTTCACTGATTATAAGTCAAGGCTAGCCATCCAATCCTTCAACCCAAGCCCAAAGTCATACAAAAAATTAGAGGTAAATTTACGATTCAAAATAAGATCTTGTTTCTCAATTTATATATGTATTTATTTGAGTTTTTAAAAATTATTCTTGCTTGCATGAATTACTGAAAATCTTTTAAATTCACTTCATATTAGGAGGGAAATTTGTGAAACTTAATACTCCAATAAGTATATTGGACTGGAAGTATAAATATTTACTTACATATTTTGAAAAGGCAAATTTTACTTTGCAAATGCTTTTGTCAAAGATAGAACTCAACACAGGAAAGCATAAAGATTCATGGTCTTGTTTAAATTAAGTGAATGTTGTTGCTGTTGTTATGTGCCGTGGAGCCGGTTCCGACTCATAGCGATCCTGTACAGGGTTTCTGAGGCTGTAAATCTTTATGGGAGCAGAAAGCCTCATCTTTCTCCCGCGGAACAGCTGTTAGTTTTGAACTGCTGACCTTGCAGTTCGCAGCCTGTGAATAGTCAAGAATAAAATCAATTGCCTTCAAGTCAATCCTGACTCAAAAAAGGTAAAGTAGAACTGTCCCACAGGGTTTTCAAGGCAGTCAATTTTTATTGAAGCATGTTGCCACATCTTTCTCCCATAGAATGGATGGTCAGTCTTTTGGTTAACAGATGAGTGCTTAATCACTGTGTCATTAGGGCTCATAATAAGAATATTATTATGAACATGTTATTACTGAATAAATAAATAGTGTTGACCTTATTTTTGTTTTGCTTGTTGTGGGTGGTGTTAGGTGCTTCAAGTCAGTTCTTACCCATTGCAACCCTATATAGGGTTTCTGAGTAGTGGATGGTGGGTGTGAACTGCTAACCTTGTGATGAACTGTCCAGTTCTTATCCTTTAGTGCCAAACCAGGACTCCAGTAAATGGAGTAGGGCTAAAGATCCTTATATTTATACGTTGAATGTAGAGGTAGACTAATTTAATACTAACTGCTTTAATAAAAATAGCTACTTTTATCTCATATAGTAAAAGTATGTATGGTTTATTGTGACTATCACAAGCAAGTTAATAATAATGGCAACTTGTTTGTAATATAACAGATGTTCTTTCTGAATGGTTTGTTTATAATTCCAGACTTTTTCCTACTTGTTTTATTTTTTTATTTGCTTTTTCCACTTAATCTGTGGTGATGTTTCTCATAATTAGCTCTGTATGTTAATTGCATCAGAACTACCTAGAAGCCATTAATTATTTTTATGTTTTGTTTGTTCTTTTTCACCTAAGACCAACAATATCTTTACACTGAGTGTAAGTATATATATGTCTAAGTAGCATCCTAGATCATTCTCATACACATTGAAAGTCCGATTCATTAATGTGTTTATCAATAACTAATTTCATTGGTTTTTAAAATCATCTTCATTATATAATTGTTAAATTTATAAGGAGCCCTGGCACTGTAGGATAAATGCTGGACTGTTGACCACATTGTCAGTGGTTTAAATCCAACAACCGCTTCTTGAAAACCCTGTACAGGGTTGCTATGAGTTAGAATCAACTCAGTGACACTTAACAGTAACAACAAATGCTAAGCATTGGCCTTCTTGAAAGACATAGACTTTTCTCCTCTCTTCAAGGAGTTTAAAACTTAGTGGAAAAGCAAAGCTTTATGTACAAAGCTCAGTAACACTGCCAGATATTATATGCTTGTTGTCAAAGGAATGATATCATTCTCATATCCTGAAGA